GAGGAAGGGTCTCAGTGCTCCTCCCACGGCAGGGAGGGACAAGGACAAGTGGCCTTGGTGACAGGGAGGTCTGCGCTGTCCCCCGCCATGGGCGGCTGTGTCACCGGGTTTGGGAACATGTCCCCAACGCGGGGGGGTGGGGTCGGGGGCTCTGGTGGCCTCGGGGGCCGGGGACTCACCGTCGGTGAAGAGAGGCTCGGGCAGCTTTCGGAAAAAGGATTTCAAGAGGCTGCTGATGACGTTCAGGTCCTGCCACCGCTGCAGGGGACAGAAGAGGCTGCTCAGGGGGACACCCAGGGACACCCAGGAGACAGCGGGGTGAAGTCCCCAAGGCAGCGACACAGGCAGGGAGAAGTCCTGAGCCAGCGCGGAGGAGTGGCCGGATGCAGGGGGACAAAAGTGTCCCCAGGATGTCACCCACAGCCACCGCCAGGCGGCCCTGGCACTGCAGGGGAGGGATGGAAATGGGGCTGTGGGGACAGGGACAACGGGGACAGGGATGATGGGGACAGGGACAACGATGGGGACAGGGACAACGGGGACAGGGACAACGGGGACAGGGATGATGGGGATAGGGATAACGGGATCAGGGATAACAAGGACAGGGATAACAGGGACAGAGATAATGGGGACAGGGATAACGGGACAGGGATGATGGGGACAGGGATGATGGGGACAGAGATAATGGGGACAGGGATAACGGGGACAGGGATAAAAGGGACAGGGACTATGGGAGAGGGATGATGGGGACAGGGATGATGGATACAGGGATGATGATGGGGACAGGGATGATGATGAGGACAGGGATGATGGGACAGGGTGATGATGGGGACAGGGATGATGATAGGGACAGGGATGATGGATACAGGGATGATGGATACAGGGATGATGATGGGGACAGGGATGATGATGAGGACAGGGATGATGGGACAGGGATGATGGATACAGGGATGATGATGGGGACAGGGATGATGATGGGGACAGGGATGATGATAGGGACAGGGATGATGGATACAGGGATGATGGATACAGGGATGATGGTGGGGACAGGGACGATGATGAGGACAGGGATGATGGGACAGGGATGATGGATACAGGGATGATGATGGGGACAGGGATGATAACAAGGACAGGGATGATGACGCAGACCAGGAAGCATTCCAGAGGCATGATAGGGATGGGGACCAGCACGGGGCCAGCCGCGGGGACAGTCACCTGCCCTGCCCTCACCTCGTCCTGCAGGTTGATCTCGGTGGCTCCCTTGTTGAGCTGCTCCTGCAGGCTGGACACCACCGCGTTGTTGCCGGGCACGCGATAGATGCCCATGTACTCCAGCCCGCGGTCCTCCACCACCTTGCAGCACGCTTCCACGATCAGGGGCACGTTCTGCAGGGACAGGGATGGGCTCAGGGGGTGCCAGGGCTGTGAGGAGTCCCCGAGGGCTGGCAGTGGTGGCACGGCCCTACCTTGTTGTCCGGGGCAGGCTGACAATCTTCCAGCCTCACGCCGAAGGCACGCGGGGCGGATTTCTTGTTCTTCTTCATGATGTTGATGCCCCACGGGGCTTTTTGGGAGCTGCTTTCATC